TTATGGTAATTAGGTGGGGGTTGGGGGGGGGGGGTGTAGGTAACAACTCCCCCACCAGTCTACCACCACAAACTTATACATATTACTCCCTATATATACTAGTTTTGTGCCTCGTGTAATGCCCGAGTTGTTTATTGATATGTTATTTGCAATTTCTACTCATGGATTAATAATCACTTGAGAATCATATTTGTCAATTTATAGGTATTTTGTGGATTTATAATCACTTGATAATCAACAAAATTAGAAGTAATAATGTACAACTAAAAAGAATGGTTGTCCTATTAAAGGTGTGATCTTTTTTCATTTTCTATGACCATCTAGAGAACGGTTAGATATAATAGCATGTCTCCTTTTTTTTTCCTCTTTGTACCCCTCTTGATTTGCCATTTTGTATAAAAATATTGGTGTTTTATTGAAAATCAAATACTAATTCAAAGTTTTATTGAAAATAAACCTCTCAAATAAGTTTGTTATCCTACTAAATCTATTCAAATTTCTTTGAAAGTAAAACTCTTAAATAATTTTTTTTATCCAATTTAAAAAAAGATATATATATATATATATATATATATCCTAATAAATCTTACGTGTCTTATTAATAATTAAGTGTTGCCTATGTGGCGCGACACTTGGCGAAAAATTAAAACACCAAGTGTCACCATTTCGTGGTCTGGCTAAAAGTTTAGTTTTATATATTACTTATATATCACTACTAGGTTAGGTCCCGTGCCTCTCACACGGTTATTTTTAGTATTATTATCAATTCTACACTTTTTTAATTAGTGTAATAAAAATTAAATTAAGAAAAATTTCTAATAATATTGTGAATAAATAAACTACCAATTTTTTTTTTATATTACATACTGTAGTTATTTGTTGATGTTTATTATTCATACGTATTTCTAGATTATTAAGGTAATTAGCTTTTGACAAAAATATTGTATAATAATCTTTAATTAATATTATGGGTTATATTTTCACAAAAAATAATTTTATGAGTTATATTATAATCTATATTAATTTCTTTTTTAGTGCTGTGATTGATTTTTTTTTAATTCTTTCTAAAACTAAAGATTTAGACAATAATTAACTTTTAGTTGTTAAGGAAATTTACCTATTAGTCAACTTTTTTTTTTACCTCATTAAAACTTTACTTAATTAGTATTTTCCCAAAAATAAAATAAATATAAAACATTTAACGACACACCAGGAGATGACACGTGTCATTGCTGGTTTTCTCTTTTAGTATATAGTTACTAGCATAGTTCCCGTGCGATGCACGGTTTATAAATCAAATTATTAATTATTAATCCCATAAAAAAATAAAGACAATTCAATTAGTAATAAAGGGCTCATTTACTAATGGTCGATACAAAAATAAAGGAGTATAATTTGAATAGAATTTTATGTTATTATTATGATTTTATAATATCATTTTATTTATTGAAAAATAAATGAATATTTCTCCACATAATTATATAAGAGAAGTAGATTAATTCATTTTCCATCTCCCGTTAAAAAAAAAAAAATTCTTGTCAAACCTTTCACTTTAGTAGCTACAATCTAATACGAAGTATATATTTTACCCATCGTATTCACCAAAATCTTTAATTATTATTGTCATTATCATTGATTTAAAATAAATTTAACTTGGAATATATATATATATATATATATATATATATATATATTTATATATTTAACTTTTAGATGTATATTTTAATCTAAGTTAATTTAATTTTACTTTAGGTTTGTATATTAAACATTTGGAAAATCTATTTCTATTTAAAATTACATTAGATATTAGTCTAAAATCACATACCTAGAATGGAAAATATTAATTACAGAAATGGAAAGTATATGAACCAAAATAATCACAATTATATTATATGATTTTATGAAATGTTTTGGATGTAACTTATAATAGTTAATTAATGGCATTGGCTAAAGAAAAGGAAAAAATCATATATATATATATATGAATAAAGTTTTTTGAAAAATGTAAAGAATATTGAGTAAAGAGGTTAAATTTACGGAAGAAGGCTAAGCATTAGTTCTTGGAAATGTATATGAAGCTTTTGATGAGGATGGCTGAGAAGAATTAGTTCCTGGAAAATTATTGGATGATTGACCTTCAAAAACCTAAAAAAATTAACAAAAGTTCAATTGTAAAGAATAGAAGTTCAAAACAAATTAAAGAAAGTTCAGTAAAAAAGATACATTTCTAAAAGAAGACTGAGCAACAATTGATGGAAAGTTAGTTGAAGCTTGATGACCAAAAACCTACAGAAAAATCAAATTAGTTCATAATTTAAAAACATAAATTCAAGAGAAACTTTAAAAAGTTCAATAAAATAAATACATTTGATAAAGGTGGCTTAGTTGTTGGAAAGGTATTTGAAGCTTTTGATGAGGATGGTTGAGAAGAATTAGTTGAAGCTCGATGACTAGAAACCTACAGAAAATTTAAGTTAGTTCAGAATCTAAAAATACAAATTAAAAAAAAAAACTAATAAAAAGTTCAGTAAAAAAAATTACATTTGATAAAGGTGGCTGAGTAGCTCTTGAGAAATTTGCAGAGGAAGGCTGATTAACATTAGTTGTTGGAAAGGTATTTGAAGCTTTTGATGAGGATGGCTGAGAAGAATTAATTCCTTGAAAATTATTGGATGATTGATCTTCAAAAACCTACAAAATTAACAAAAGTTCAAAAGTTAATATTAGAAGTTCATAAAATAAAAACTAAAGTGCAAAACAAATTTTAAAAAATAGAAGAATTTATGATTACATTAGTTGAAGATTGCTGAGTAGATTTTGTTGAAGGGTTACTATTTTTGAATCCTTTTACATTTGAAGCTTAGGAACCACTTCTAACCCCCTCACCAAAATCTAAAAGTAAACATGAAATTAAGCATATATAATAAAAAAAAAAGTGTTCATAAAAACAATTAAAATGTTCAATAAAATACTTACATTTGCTGATGATGAATGAGAAGCGTTGGTTCAAGCTTTACTATTTTTACTTTAAACACCTTTTTTCTTTGAAAGTACAGAGATATTTGAACCTTGTGTTGTTGGCTGTGAATAAATCAAAGGATCTCCTTCATCATCTAAAACCTGCAAAATAAAAATAAATTCTGAGATGTTCAATTATAAAATCTATTAGTTCATAGAACAAGAAAAGGGGTTCAAAAGTACCTCAATAACCAATTTTTCGACAGTAGCTCTGACTTCATCTTTATATTTATCTACTTTCTTTTTCCAACCCTTAGCTTTATTTCACGCTTTCTCAACAATACTTTTTGGCCTGTAGTTTCTTTCACCCTTTTTCCTAGATATTTTTGTATTGTTTATAGGAAACCCTTCTTCATTACCTTCTAGCTTCATTAGCTTCTTCACCAACTTCAACATCTTCAATATCAATTGGACCCATAAGACTTTCCACCTTTTCACGTAACATATGAAAAGTATACTCAACTTCACAACTTCAGCTCTAGCTAAAAGATCATCTTGACATGATGTCACTAACTAACCATACTTTCTAAGCATTTGAATTCTCCAAACAGCAGAAGGAACAACTTTAACCTCTTGACATGTATCTTTATCGGTATCATGAATACACATAGCCTTCTTAGTCCACCTCTTCACTATGTACTGTTTTGGAATCCTTTGAACACAATGTATATTATATATACAAAGAGAGTGTCTACATAACAATCCCATTTCACTCCAATACTTACAAGTGCAATTGATGTTGAACGTGAATTTCTAACTTCATGCCTTATAATGTCCTTATTTGGCCTCCAAAAATAATAACAAATAGTCTCATTATCTTCATGCTTTCTCTCTTGACAACATGAAATACCTTTTGCAAATTGATCCTCAAAAATCACATACACATAAATAGTATATATCTTCCTAGCGTGTATGAGCAAACTGACATTAGCTACTGCACGATGACGGTTACCCCCTCAAAAATCGGAAATCTTGCTTACTTTCTTTACTCCTCCACTCCGATATAACATCTAGAAAAGTACTATAAAAGTCACTCAAACCATCTGTTTTATTCGATCTATTGGAAACTGAATGATTTGTTGTTTCACTCTTTTTGGATGACAAAACTCCACACAAAAATTAATCTTTTGAATAAGCCGGACACCATTTTTCTTTGATATCATACAAGTGATTTAACCAATCATTTTATGAACTCTTGTATTTTGTCAGCATTCTATTAAAAAACAGAAAACAATAGACCAAAAATAAAAAAAAGATAACATAACTGTTCAAATTACAACAATAAAAGTTCAGAACATGTAACATTATGTTCATATGCACTTGCAAAACATAGAAAATAAGCATGTTAAAATTAAATATATAATAGTTCATATAAAAAGAAAGGTTCATATCTTTAAACATGAAATTCAAATATGTAACATACATGTTCAAATATAAATATATTATGTTAATTTCAGTAAATGTAGTACCCATATATGTAAATGTAATAGTTCAGCTTACAAACATAAAAGCACAAAATATAAAAGCAATAGTTCAAATAAATGTAAAGGAATATTACCTTGGCCAGTAATGTTCAAATTCAGCAGGACTTTCACAATACTTGAGCAAATAATCAAATACTTCTAGAAACCCTTTCAATATTCTGAGTCCCTCCTATATTGGTCTTTGAATTCTCACCAAGGTGCCAAGTGCACAAACGGTGCCGAGTGCTTGGAAATAATTGTCTAACTGTAGCAGCAATTGAAGGTGCTTGATCAGTCATTAAGGTTATGGGGTTTCGACATCCTCCCATGTATCTCATAAAAGCCTCAAACAACCATACAAAACTGCTGGTCTTTTCATCAAGGACAAAACCCATTCCAAACATGGTATTATTGCAATGATGGTTCATACCAACGAAAGGAGCACAAATCCATGTCATATTTGTTGGTTCTATAGGTGGTATCAAAGATCATCAAATCACCAAACGCTTCATAATCCCTTCACATTCTACCATCCCTCCAAAATACACTACTAAGGACATGATTTCCATCCACCTCAAACTCATAATAAAAGTCCCTCTCTTTTGCTTGTCTTGCAGCAAATGACTTGATCAAAGCATTACAATCACCACCTTCTAATCTGCTAGCTTTTTTAGTAGCTAAAGCATTATAAACATCAATAATAGTGTAGCATGGATTAGGAGATCCACCAACTTCTTTCCTCAAAGCACGAACAGAATCAGTAACCTTAACCCCACTAGCCCTCATAGTACTAATGAACTTCAAATGCTCACCTTGAATTTTTCTTTGAGACCTAAGGAGATGTCTCTTCTCAACAGGTATCATAGCATGATTGTGATCCGTATTATGTTTAACAGCAGTCCATACACCTTTCTCATCAATTACAAAATCAATAAAAGCTTTATAACATGTACGGTAATCCAACTTAGAAAACTTCCTAGGCATCTTAGAAGAAGTATCCTTCAAACCAGCATTTGAACATAGGTAGTTTCTGCCTCTCCAAACACTTGAAGTACCAACATATCGAATTTTCCCCTTCCTAATACTAAATCCATGCCTAAATGCATAATCATTATACATTTCATATGCTTCTGCATCACTTTTGACTTGTTTTCACTTCAATTTAGACACTTCACTTTCCTTATAAACAACTTCATACTTATAACCTGCAATAAACAAACAAAATGCATAACAAACGTTACTATAGTTCAAAAATAAAACATAAAAGTTCAAATAAAGAAAAAGGATGTTCATTATTACTTGTACAATTTTATTTTTAAAAACATACATGATCAAAGGTTCAATAAAATAACTGACGAGGGGTGAACTAGGTCGTTGAAGCTAATCCTTCCTCGGTCAAACTAAATTTATAAACACTTAACCAACCTAAATACTAGTATAGAGGCAAGTCAAGGGTCGAACCCAAAGGAACGGTAATGTTCAAGCGCTCTCAATTATGTGCCTAAGCTAGGTCAAAGACGAAGGTAAAGGTAAAACTAACAACTAAAAAAACAAACAACCAAGGAAATAAAACACTAGGAACAAAGATCAACAAGTAATCATGACAATTGCAACAACTTGGGACAAACATGATAATCAATGGTTGTGAAGAATAACGATAAGGCCAATGAATTGGAATCAAAGAGCTATCTCCTAATCATTAAGCTTGATGTCTCTACGAATAAGAAACTAAGAGAATCACAATCTAAACCAATCGCTAATTGTAATTCCTAAATCAATTGTTCGTGTCATTAGCAATTACAATGCAATCTAGCATAATTCTCAAGGCCTAATCGAATTACACACATGCACAACTTCCATTAATCACTTTAATCTCAACAATCAATCAACACAATTCCTAAATTAATCACAATAAATCAATCATACAAGTTTCACCCAATTCCTAGCCAAACAACTACTCAAGAATCATCATTACACATTTACACTAATTAAGAATCAAACATCAAAATAAAGCCAAACAAACATGAAATTAAGTAAAACAATAAGATGAGGTAGAGTTAGCAGTGCTTATTGATAATGAAGAAGATCATCAACACAATTGTCACCATTGAATCTTAAATATCTTAATCACCATTAAAATTCCTCACTTTCTCTCTCTAAAATCTACTCTTAAACTAACCCTAGATCTAGAGAGAGAACCTCTCAACTAAGCTAAGAAATATGATCAAAATTATGTCTAATTCTTCTTACAAAAATCGATTAAAGAAAGGTATTTATAGAGGCGCGGAAAAGGAAAACAAACAAAGCCGGAAACAGGGAGGAGACCCCGCGCAAGAAGAGGCGCACGCCCTCTCCCGAGCCACGCGCGCCCGCGCTGCAAGGTTGTGCGTCAGCGCGCCTGGCTTGCGGGCCCTCTCCAATCTGGGTTTCTTCCGACTTTCTCTGCCGCTCGTGCACTCGATAATGAATCCGCAAACTACGGATGATGCATGATGGTATAGGCAGTAAGTTTAAGCACTTTTGGTGGGTTTGACACTACTTCATGGGAGCACGACTCGAGAGCGCAAGAGCTAGAACTTGGAGCATCCACTTCCTTGCATCTTGAGCTTTCTCAATGCTATGAGCTTACTCTACAAGCATCTTTCAACTTGGAAAATCATCACTATCGAGACCCGAACCTTGTACAATATCTACAACCACGAAAAGAGAAAAAATAAAGGAGAAAAGACTAGAAAAACTATAAAAACATAAAACAAGAGAGAAAAGGGAAATAAAGGGAAAAGGCATAAAACTAAGCATTTATTAAGAAAGAAAGCTATGGAAAGAAGGTAAAAACAACATAAATGCTCATCAAATGAGTTCCATAAATGGAACTCATAAATAACCTAGAGGTTCATAAATATAATAACAGTGTTCATAATAATATTAATCTGTTGATAAAAATTTCTAAAAGTAATTACCATGTAAAGTGCTTAATACGAATTATAAACAAATAATATTCATAAAATACAAAATTAAACCTAAAATTCCGCAATTAAAATAAAAAATCAAATTCAACACACTTTCAACTAAAATATATGTATATCTTTCAAATTCTTCCCATAAATTCTTCTGCAAGAAATCATATCATCCAAATTTTCAGAATCAAGAATTCATGAACAATTTAATTTACAAATGATCAAATTCATTACAAATTAATACAATACAATATGAAATCAAAATCTGTTCACAATTTCATAAAATAGATCAATAGTTTGATTACTTCATAAATTAATCAAGAATATACAACTAATTAAACATAAAAATTATGCGATGTTCAGAATCATATTAAACTTCAAATTTCAGAAAATCAAAAATTAAATTAAGCAAATAACAAACCTAATAATTATGTAATGAGATCAAATAAATGAATAAATGAAAAACAATGAAAAAAAATCAAAATCTCAGCAACTAAATAAAACCTAATCATACAATGAGTTCAAATCAACAAATAAAAATCCAAAATTGATTAGCGATAATTATCAATTCAAAAAATTAACAAAAATTAACAGTTACTCAACAATTACTCAAAAACTACATTAAAAACCTAATTAATGAAAATAATCAATTGAAATAAAGAATCTAACCTACACTATCAAGAACTTCAGGTATAAAAATTAAATCCATGGAGATGAACTACAGTGAAGAACAGAGGAATCAACAATGGTGATAAGCAATTGATGACAACGAAGAGAGAAAAAAGAGGAGATAGAAAATCGAAGAGAGAGAAGTAGAGGAGAGAGAAAATTGACGCCCAACAAATTTATGAATGATAATTGTAAACAAGAAATTGAGAAATTATGAAGAAGTTTAACTAGGAAAGACGCGCGAAGAAAAAAAATTCAACTGGAGGAAATTGGTAGAGCTGGAAGCATATGGTACAGGTGGCAGCAGCTGATTCGTGGTGAACACAGAAATAGGCACCACTGTCCACCTTAAAATTTGGGGTATGACAGATTAACTTATTTTCATGATTCTAGAAGACAAATGAGACCTGTCTACGGAAATTTAGATGCATTTAGACATTAAAATCATATAAGTAAAAAAAAGGCCAAATGACTGGCCAATTTTTGTTCCAACTTTAATTTTTAAGTAAACTTTCATACGACAATTAGTATGATTCTATGTCACAATGAATCCTTATTTCACAAATCTAGACACATTTGGGCAATGTTAGGTTCAAAACATGCTAAAGTGAATCTTTTTACTCCATCAGTCTAAGAATATATGGGATGTTGGTCTTTTTTCATTATTATTAGATTTGACTATAATATTTTACTAACATAATAAAAATATACGGTTTTTTCACCATATATCCTTGAGTTTTTTGTTTATTCACCATGTATCCCTGAAATTCTTCAAATTCACCATATACCCTTAAGTTGTTACAAAATTTACCATATGCTCATGCTCCTTATGACAACAATATGAGTGGAATTTAATTAATTATAATGCATAAAATTCTCCTTATATCTCTCCCTCCATCCCCAAAACCACTCTTCTTCTTTCTTTACTCGCAAAACCACACCAAATCTCTAAAACCATTTTTGTATGATTGATTTATAGGATGAATAAACAAAATTTGAGGTGGTTTTGTGGGTGCCAAAACAAAATGTGTGTAGTTTCGGGGGTAGGGGAATGTATTTGGTGATTTCGGGTCATAATTAACCCTAGTGAGTGACGAAATTAGCAATCATTAGTCACCAAAGAGTATATGGTTCATTTTTGTGAAACTCGGGGGTGTAAGATGAATTTAAAAAAGTTTAGGGGTATATGATTGTAGACACCCATTTGTGTCTCCCCAAAACCAAACCCGGTGATGAGTACCTTTCACGTCTAATCATAATCGAATGAAGTGAAAGTGTGGAAAGTCTAGTGTTGCGGATAGTTTTAATTTCTTTTCTCTTCTCTCTGTTTTTGAAAACTTATTTTAAGAAAACAGCCAATCCAGTTTGGTTGGTCCATGATATGGGTCCAATAGTAGTGTAGTTGGATGGGGCTTGACAAGAGCTTTCCAACAATATATTATAAACCCAATTCCGAAGAATATTGAGGAAGTTATGGCCAAATTACTAAACTGGGCCCGATTTGAGCCTTATATGCGGCCCAATGATCTAGGGAAGGGCCTAATATGATTTATCATTCCTAATGCAAATTAGGAATGGTTTTAGTCTTCTAGATTCTTCTAGAAGGTTCTTTTCATTCCTAATTTAATTAGCATTGATAAATTGACTTTTGTTGACTTTTCAGAGTTTTAATTAAATCAAGAGTATTTTTGAGGGAAATATGATTTTATCCTCCTGTACGACAATTTTTATCTGATTTTAAGAAAATGCGTAAATTTCCAGATTAGCGCCAAACGCCAGCTTTGGCGCCTAGCGCCAGCTTTGGCGCCTGGCGCTAATGTTGGCGCCTGGCGCCAACAGCCACCGTTGGCGCTGGTTCAGTTTCACGTGCGCCAGAATCTGTTTTGATATTTTATCTTTTTGGCTGATTTTCTCTATAAATAACGTATTAAAAACTCCATTTTCTATAACCAGTTTTCATCTAAAACCAGTTTTCAGCAATTCTCATCAACAACCAATTTTCATCCATAATCATTCACCAACTCTCATCAAGATTCTCTTGATTTTACCCTCTCTCTCTCTCTTTTCTAAACTAGCTTTTAAATACAAAATTCCGCATTCATTAGATCTAGATACACCTAGCCAAGTTCGAAGTTGCCTTCGCCCTAGACGTGAAAGGTTTAATCTCTGAGGGTTTGGTCCCAAATCTCTCTTTCTTTATTTAATTTAATTGTTTGTTTATTATTTTCCTTGAAGTTACTAACGTGTGTATTTTGTTATTAGAAAGAGGTACGAGGCATCCAAGTAAGTGCTTTAATGATTTTTATTAATATTATGATATAGAGTTCATGCTTAAGTTGTTATTTTGATTCCTAGTATCATGTCTAGGGTAATTTTAATATTAAGTATGATTAAAAGTATGATGCTTCCTATGTTCTTCCTAATATTTATGAATGTTAGTATCATGTTAGGGTTAAAGATTTGATTTTTATTGCTTAGTGACATGCTAGGGTT